TTTTAAATTAATAAGTACCAATTAAGTCAAAATCTTATTAGTTATATTCTTAAAGTATGAAATCATGTAAATATGACTATTGCGTGAGCCCCAAACATGCCTATATAATACTCCAAAAATGCCATGAGTTTGAATATTTCAATTCATATGAATAAGCAAAATCAAATCCTAACTACCAAAATATACTATATAGTAATTAATAAGTCAAGTCCATGAAATTAAACATAAAAATTGTCTGTGCCAAGTAGCGTGCGAGGTAGCACGGACGCCAGCAGTTAGAACAGGTTGATTAATATCTATCTCTAATTACATTACTCAACCTTCCAGAATGTCAAGAAAACGACAAACATTGTTCTTATTGAAATTTGTTTCTTTTTATACATTATTCTTATTGATTAATTTTCACTTAGATTAAAAGTTTTTTTTAATTGTTATTCATTTGTTATATAAAATCATCTAGTTAATTTAATTAAATAAAGTTGAGAGGGTATGACTACTAAAAAAACGCCAATAATGGATAAGATATATAGGGAAAGTATAAGGCTATCAATAAACAAACAATTTGTAATCACAAAATGCAATCTTCAATAACTAAAAAGAAATTAACAAACTTAAAATGGGAATGAAATATATAAAATAAAAATATGGATGCAAATGATTAAAATATAACTCAAGGGACTAAAAAATATTTTTCTCAAAAGTTTAGATCGAGGGCTTGGGCCGTCAGTGATTCTATTTCTAGCATTCAAAACCATACTGGAAGTTGGAACTTGGCTACCAAGACACGGCATCTTCAGCCCCAACGACAAACCCACATATCGTCAGCAAAGCTTCCGACAATCTGTAAACCACCAACTCGCTGGCATAAACCCCATCCTGCTGCTCCATCTCGCGATAAAACAACATATATTATGTTGCGGATAAAGACAGATATTTATGGAATGGATATATTATTGAATATTGACAAATTGCCCAAAGATGATAAGTTGGAACAATTCAAAGGTAAGTTTAATATATTAAACATCGCGATTTTTTTTTTTTCATCTCTCACGTTATTAGGAACTAAAAGTCGCAAGAAAACTGTCGGCTTCTCTCTCAATCAAAACCAAATCCTAACTACCTCGTATGCTTACTAATTATTAACTACTCGAGTTCGGCATGAAAACGAAACATCGGCAGCTTGAGGACGGTGCCACTGCCAGTTAAGAGTATAGAAATTGATTAATCTAACTGTCTAACATCATCATAGCTATTAAAGTATCGAAAGTGTAACTCCATCAGTCGTCTAATTTCGCGACTTTTACCATTTTTGGATCGCTTGGACTGATCGCAATCATCTTTCGAAAGTGATAAGTTCTCGATCGATCAATCCGTTATTTAATGAAGTCGCAATTCACATCGTGCCAAACGACAATATCATCTTATTACAATAATATGTACGTAATCTATTTGTCTAATTAATCAAGCGAGATGGTTAATTGATATCTTCGGCTATAAATATATAGATCGATCTAAGAGCCGATATCATTCTAGTTCTCAACCTCTCTCTCTCTTATATCAAAGCGCACTCTATTCAATCCAACACAATGCTGACCATCTTTGAGAATAAGAGCATTGAGAGCACTGACGCTACTGGAAATAGAATGAAGTTTCCCCCTGACGCCAACTTGACAAATCTTTCATTTGATTGCAACGTCCACGGCCAGTTCCGAAGCGTGTCAGTTATAGATGAGGGGGGTGCCAAGCGGGACTTTACCATCAAAAATCAGAACGGAAAGGTATATTTCACTGATGGTTGGAATGCATTCAAAAGGGGGAAAGGCATTAAAGCTGGTCACAAGATCTCCCTTTACAAAGATGATGAAGCTGATCAGTATAGAATTAAAGTGGAGAGAAATTGAGAAAAGGGATGGTTAGTTGGCTTTTATATATCCTTTAAGAGTATATTTAGTTTGAAAGAAATGAAGGAGATGAAAGGAAATACTATTTCAGCTAATCAAAATAAGTCGTTAATTAAGGCCTTAATTTGATTAGATGAAATATTTTTTTCTCCTCTCTTCTCCACTTATCTCAAACTAAACAAACTCTAAGTGATTGTTGATTAAACTCATAGTTTAATTTATGATACTCTGTTATCCTTTAGTTTATGTTTTATTTCTATCTATTATTTAAATTTTAAGATAATGTTTATTATATGAATTATTACACTCTTTATAAGGTTGTACTATTGTATGTAAAATATTTCTACAATAAAATTGAAGTTTCACTTCCTTTATTGAGAAAAGAACTCGAAATTCCTCTTCTTTGTTTTTTTCATTTTTTTTGGACCAACATTCAATATTCTTCTTTATTAAATATATTAAATACTACGTCTACAAGGAATATACATGGACATGGGTGTTTGCGCTGTGAGTGCACACCGTGAACCATCTAGAAATAGCACATAAAAGACTCATTAACATTAACAATCATGTAAAATAACTTAAAATTGATTGAAAAAAATGTAAAAATAACTTACTATCAATTAATTATATTAATTCGTTGACAGAAAAAAAAATAAAAAGAAAAAGAAAAAAGGAAAGTGCATTAATTCATGTTGGCCAGGAAAAAAAAAGAGTGACTAGTATTGAATTGCTTTTCTTTTTGTTTTTTGCCCAGAATTAATTGCTTTTCTTTTTATGTTCTTGACTCATTATACTATAATTGGTTAGTCAAATGAATTTGAGATAGGCTTATGTTCTTGTGTAGGGTCCATCCCACTCTTTTAACATGTCCTGACAACACAAGAAAAAATGTCCGAGGCGGACGGCTGGTTAGCTAGAATATTTATACACTTCTTGTTTGCGGCCTTAATTTTTTTTCTTTTTGGCTCATGACATATATTTCCTCATCTCATGACCGATCATTTAATTAATTTAATAATAACTTTTTTCAGTTTAAATAATATTAAAGATGTCTTTTTATGAAATTGAACTTTTAGGTCTAAGTAGTTCGCCCTCAAACCTTAAAATATTTGGGTTAATTGATCAAGAATTAAAAAAAAAAAGATTCCTTTTTATGGTAACATGAATATTTAAATATGTGACTTAACAAATCCCATGAGTATTTATAAATTATTTTATCCACAAGTATCTGGTAAGCAATTAAGGCTTTACTTTTAAAAAGATATGTAAGAAGCATGGAGCATTAAAATTATTCATCCAAATGATATTGAAGGGATTCAAACTTATATTCTTAGCATAATTCAAATAATTTTTTAATTTTAATCACTTGACCCAACCGTAATGAATTTTTCAAGGAACTTTTAACAATTACTTCTCATTAA